TATATACAGTACATATGCATACTATTTACTATTTACATTACACAGCAATAAAGTACAGCACAGCAATGACATTAGCATAATCCATGAGATAATCTATGGACCTGTAGCAATCAATGTCAACAGTTTAATTTTGGTTTGGAGATTTATGGTGTTCTTGTTTCCAAAATGGACTTAAGAATATTGCTGCTTAATATAAAATCTTTTTCAGGTCCTTTCAGGTCCATAAACATGATGCCAAAACCAAAACCGACTCCTATACGTAAGTTATTTACCAGTTTAACTGCTAGTTTTATACCAGAGCTGTATACTATGTTTAAACCAGAGCTGTTTTCACTAAATGTATGTAGCTTACTAAAGGATGAAAGGTTTATTGGTAATCTTGGGGTTGACTAAATTATTCATTTTAGAGGGAGACATCTGTTTCTTTAATTTTCTTTATCATATAGAGATAAGCAAACCAAAATCAGAGAGATCTGGATTTAGTTTGGATCAACCCAAATGTTATGCTTGTAAATGAAAGGCAAGCTCACTCTCAACCGCCAATACTTTATAATGAAAGAATGCAGTGGCAGGAGTTTTTTAAACAGTGTGTAATTCAAGGTGTATGTTTTCTTAATCCCATTCATATCAATTTATATGAGGCATATGTATGTGAAGGTTCTCATTCATCCAGGTCATGGTATATCTGTAAAAAAATAACCAGCAATTCAATTCAGACAAGTCAAGAGAAAGCATATTTTATAGAACATCTTTTAAATATAATGATTACATTGAGCATAAAAATGTTGATGCCGATAACAAAAAAGAAGATGAATTGAAGTTGTAATTACCAATGTAATCACTACCAAACCAAAGCTTAGTGCCTTTTACATAACAAAGAAAGAAAGAGGACCTTCAGTCTTCATTCCTCTAAACCAGGAAGAACACTATAAGCCCTTGTTCACACCTGAACATTTTGTAGCGCGTTCTACGCTCGACGAACGCTCTACAAAACGCTCAAAAATATAAATCCCATTGTATTCGATGGTCTCGTTCCCACCTGGGCGTATTTCCGCCCGTCCCTAACGCGCTACAAAACGGCCCACGCCTGAAAAGGTACATGTACTACTTTGGGCCGTTTTGTTGCGCGTTTCCATTGGGATACAGCCAAGTAGCCTTCGGAAACGCGCGACGGTCGCGCAACGTTTTTACCACGAATCGTGGTAAAAAAACGCACGACGGTCGCGCGACAGACGCGCATATGCAATACGCCTAGGTGTGAACGAGACCTTAGAACACAAAGGGGGCGCCTTTCCTAGTGCAGATCAATTTATTTCAATAAACACGAAGTGAAAAAGAGATAAAATGGTACTCACAAACATGAGTGTTACACGGGCATGGGATGGGAGCTGACATGCAGTAAGACATCCACTAGACAATTCCTGTGTGTGAAGACGTTGATGCGTTTCCGGGGCACGCCCCCTTCATCAGAACAGGATGTTGACGCGTTTCCGGGGCACGCCCCCTTCATCAGAACAGGATGTTCTGATGAAGGGGGCATGCCCCAGAAACGCGTCAACGTCTTCACACACAGGAATTGTTTAGTGGATGTCTTACTGCATGTCAGCTCTTATTCCATGCCTGTGTAACTCATGTTTGTGAGTACCATTTTATCTCTTTTTCACTTCGTGATAATTGAAATAAATTGATCTGCACTAGGAAAGGCGCCCCCTTTGTGTTTACTTTTCAGATTCCCAGCTTTCCCGGCTTCTTTGGGGCATTATCCTGCAGTATGCCTGAGAAGATTTCCCAGTGAGGACTCATAGTTAGTGGCGCTTCATTGTTTTTACTGTATTACTGAGACCTTAGAACATATCAATGGAGTCTGGGTTGCAGAAAACATACAGTACAGTTTCTTTTATCTCTGCATCTTGCATTTCTTTTGCATTTAGCTTGCATTTGAGATCCTTCTAAGCTCCCTGTGGGGGTGCTTCTGCTCTGCTCAAATCGACCTTTATCTTTGTAGACACAGACAACCTTGTGTGTATTTCAATACAACAAAAAGTGCACAAAAGTTTGGTAGACAGAATACATACTTACAGAATAGCTTAATAATAATATTAAGAAGAAGCAAAGGTCCATAAAAGGTCATATACATGGGCGTGCATGATCTTCGGCTCTGAAAAAAGACAGAGGAAAACCAAAAAGTGTACCAACACAAAACAACAGAAAGGGGGACAGATGACCTTGTGGATCAAAAACATCACACGAGTGTTTGAAATAAGCATAAGAAATGCATGTATAGAGGGGCGTGGCTTAGCACGGACACGAGATGGACGCACATTGAAAGAGCTCCAGAGGTGACGGGAGAACTTTGCACGATTAATCAGCAGATATGGGGAAAATTGGTCGCCAACTCCCTTCTGAACGTGACACAGGCTCGCGGGGCTACAACTCTATCCCAACCATGTTCCGGGCCCAGCACCCTGACCCGCAAAACGCCAACCCCCGCCTGACCACGAGGCATCGGATCACGAAGGCCAACATCCTTCATCAGCGGAAGAGGTCCCCTTCTACATCAACAAATTGCCACAACGAGCTGACCTCAAATCGGTGGTGAGTGAGATTAAGAATGCTCTATCGGATGCGGTTTCGGGTCTGAGATCAGACATTAAATCAATAGCGGATCGCCTATGCGTGGTGGAGCAAGATGGCGCCCAGCGGGATGAAAAAATCATAATCAACAGACGTGCCATCTCCTCGCATACTACCCATCTCGTTACCATGCAGAGGCACATAGAGGACCTGGACAATCGGGGGCGCCGCCGCAACATCAGAATCAGAGGATTGCCTGAGTCGGTGGAACCGGAGGGCATACAAGCGGCTCTACAGGCGATCTTCAACGAGCTCCTGGACAGGCCTCTAGATTCGCCAATAGACCTGGAAAGAGCACATCGCGCTCTACGTCCTCGAGGCAGAGACACCGATCTGCCGAGAGACATCATCTGCTGCTTTCTCAGTTTCCAACTCAAGGAAAAGGTGCTGTTTAGATCAAGGCAAAGACCCTCATTGATGTATAATGGGACAGAAATCAAACTCATCTAAGATCTTTCAGCTATTACACTGCAAAACCGCAGAGCTTTGAGGCCGCTCCTGACAGAGTTACGCCGTCTCAACGTTCCATACCGCTGGAAATTTCCCTTCGGTCTAATGGCCTCCAGGGCAGGCAGCACGGCTGTGCTGCGCCTGCTGGAAGATTTGCCTTCCTTTTGCGACCAGCTCAACTTACCTCACCTCCACCTCCCGGAATGGTACGCCGAATTCCTCCCACCAGACGGATGGTCCGCTCCTGACCCAGATGACGATCCCCTACCACCAGTCTTCAGCCCGGCCAAAGGCAAGCAGAGGGGCAGGGGTCCCGGCGGCCGTCGGGTCGCCACCCCTCCTCCATGGCGATTTGGCACCCCACGCGCGTCTCGCAGCCTGGCAACAGGAGGCCCGGAGGGTTGAAGACCTCCCGGTTATCGTTCTCTGGCCGTCCTCCACGTGGATCCACTCGGGTTAGTTTGCTTGGTTATGCCCAGTGGTGAGTGTTGGCCGGTTTATGCGAGAGCGCATGCCCGTTGGCACTGTCCCGAATACGGTTCATCTTAAAAGGTACATTTTGTTTTACAACGTTTTATTTGATGGCGTGCAGCACCCGAAACCTGAACTTGGACTGTGTTTTCGCCCACTACTGACTCTCTTACACCGATGTCAGTGACCGCTTGCACTACTGCCAGGTGCACATGTGGCTATGCAGGCCATCGTGAGGTATTCTGCTTGCAGATAGCTGATAGAATTTTAGGGGTTCCCGACCCCCATGGAGTGTTTGCATAGCTAATGTTTGATGTCCCACTCTCATTGCCCTGTTAATGCTGTTTCCACCCTGTAATATGCTAATACATACATAGCCCACTGTACCGCACAGTTGTAGTTCGTTAAGCCATGGATTACATTCCTCTTGGACGACTGTTTCACATGTGCTACTTACCCTGATGTGCTGTTGTCGTTCCATAGCGATGTATCTGTGCATATGTTTCTTGGGATGCTGACAGTACAGCCTAGTTCATAGACACCGCAGGCTTTTGTACTCCGACTGTTTTACACAGCTAACGCATAGTCCATACCCCATATACATGAGTACACTTCTCCCTTGCTCTGACGCGAATTCAAGTTCGTCCTAATCTGTTGTTACATACCCCCACACAGGCAGGTGTTACACACTGTCCTGAACTAGTCCGGTTTGTCACACGCCAGTAACGTCCCTTTCTCCGCTGATTCCTGGAGCGGGGCGTTACTCCGGACCTGTTTCTGGTACGCGATAGATACGTTATATCGGTTGTGATTCAGCTCCAGACTACCACGCCCTTGCAGGTTTTAGTGGAACGCAACTACAACCCTCCTCCCCCACTCTCTCCCTCCCCCCTTTTTTTTTTTTTTTTTGGTGTGTTTTGCTTCTTCCTCTGTCCCTTTCTTTTGTTTCTCACCCCTGCCTTACACTCCTACGAAGATGCCCTCTCCCAGCTTGGGGAGGCACGTTTCGGCCTCCCTCAAACTGAAATTTTTCTCGATCAATGCCTAAGGTCTAAACATACCCGAAAAACGTTCCCGCCTACTACACGTCGCTTATACCCTTATATCACAGATCGTGTTCATCCAAGAGACGCACTTTAAATCTGATTCAATCCAAAAGCTGACCGATTATAGGTATCCTAGGGCTTTCCACTCAACCAACCCTTTACAAAAGTCGAAAGGGGTGTCAATCCTTCTGGCTAAGGAAGTGCAATCCTCCTGAAGGGGAAACTGTATGGTAGGCCGATTACATTGGCCAATATATATTGTCCCAATAAACGGCAACCGTCTTTCATTGCAAAACTCGCTAAGACTTTACAGGAATTCTGCTCTGGCCTCCTAGTGGTGGGTGGCGACCTAAATGTTCTTTTGAACCCGACGCTTGACTCCTCTACAGGATCCTCCTCTCTGACATTCAGGGCCCTCCGACACATAAAGCAGAACCTATCCTCTCTCACACTTCATGACACTTGGCGGACCTTATACCCCTCAACCAAGGATTTCACCTTTTTCTCTTCACCCCACAATAAATACACTAGACTGGACTACTTTTTCCTCTCCCAGCAGGACTTGGAATACCTACACTCTGCGACCATAGAACCCGCCCTGATCTCTGACCACACTCCTATCACCTTCTCCCTATCGTTCCCCTCCCAAGAACCCCGATCCAAGCAATGGCGTCTTAATCCCTCCCTTCTCTGCAATCCAGATGTAACTGACTCCCTAAAAAAGTCACTGGCCGACTTCTTCAGGCACAACGCCTCCCCATTAATGCCCAGCATGATAACCTGGGAAGCACACAAATGTGTTGTCCTTGGCGAACTCCTCGCATGGTCGACACGCTTGAAGAAGGCACGTCAAGCGCGAATGGCTGATCTCACCGCCCAAATATCCTCGATGGAACGCAACCACAAAATATCTTTGGCTCTTAGGGATATACAATCCTTGATTCTCTTGCGCACCGAACTAAAAAACCTCATAGACTCAAGAATCAAGAAGGCTTTTGTTCTTTCCAGCCGATTCTTCTATGAGTATGGCAATAAAAGTGGGAAATTCCTAGCGAGAGCCCTGAGAGCCAAACGTTCTTCTCTGCAGGTGGCGGCCATTCGCGATAGCCAGGGAACCTTGCATGCGAAATCCAGCGACATAGCCTCGCAATTTCGGGCTTATTATGAAAGTTTATACCATGTAGATGAGCACTCACCGTCCCCACAAGAGGGCCCAGCTAGAAGACGCTCCATACAAACATTTTTGAGCTCTATGACTCTCCCTCGCCTTTCCTCCCAACAGGCAGGGTTGTTGGAAGCCCCTATCATGGCCCAGGAATTGGAATATGCCCTTAAACAGATGACACCTGGTAAATCCCTGGGCCCCGATGGGTTCTCATCTCAATGTTGGGGACATCAGTTCAGGGGTGACCCTGCTGGAGCAGGACGCCTCCTCTATCCGCAGGGGGAGTGACTGCTCCGGCAAGGACGGGAGCGGGAGGGAGGGTCAGGAGAGGCAGATCCTGGTGGTGGGAGACTCCATCATCAGGCGGACTGACAGGGTAATCTGTCATCGTAACTGTGAGTGTCGAACAGTGTGCTGCTTACCAGGTACGCGAGTTCGACACATTGCAGAACGAATTGATAGATTACTAGATGGGGTTGGGCACGACCCCGTTGTCATGGTGCACATCGGCACCAATGACAAAATAGGAGGAAACTGGAGTGTCCTAAAAAAGGAGTTCAGAGACCTAGGTGCTAGGCTGAAGGAAAGGACCTCCACGGTAGTTTTCTCAGAGATACTACCGGTGCCAAGAGCCACTCCGGACAGACAGCGCGAGTTGAGGGAGCTTAACAAGTGGCTCCGGAGCTGGTGTCAGAAGGAGGGATTTGGTTTCCTGGAGAACTGGGCTGACTTCGCAGTCGGCTACCGGCTCTTCGGCCGAGATGGGCTGCACCTTGATGGGGGAGGTGCAGCATTGCTGGGGGGAAAAATGGTAGAAAGACTGGAGTAGCTTTTAAACTAGATAATGGTGGGGAGGGCATAAAAATATTAAACTTGAGTAGTGATAACTTTAACATGAATACATATAATAAAGAGGGAAGTAACAAAGGGGCAAATAGTGGGCTCACTCCAGTCACCAGTGCCAAAGCAGTCAATATAGTAAATCCTATAGCTGAAGATAATATAAGTGATACCGGAATACCAATATCACCTAAACCTTTGTCCAATAACAAGACAGGAATTAAATGTATGTACACAAACGCTAGAGGTCTGGCAAATAAATTAGAAGAGCTTAAGCTTATGATACTCGAAGAGGACTTTAGGGGGGACATGATTTTCATGTACAAAATGTTCCATAGTCATAGCAACATTAGCAACACTCTCTTTGAGATTAATTCCGTAACAAAGACTAGAGGACACCACCTAAAACTGGTAGAAAAAAAATTGAACACAAGGGGCAAAGGGGGTTCTTCTCAGTTCGCGCGGTTAGGGTCTGGAACTCACTGCCTCAAGCGGTAATTTCCGCAATTAATCTGAAATCATTCAAGAGGCTTTTGGACGACTTCCTGAGAGACTGAAATGTAGAGGGGTACAGGTACTCTTAAGAATGAGAACACTCATGGACCTATACACACACACACACACACAACAGGTTGGACTTGATGGACTTATATCTTTATTCAACCTCAAATACTATGTAACTATGTAATATTACGCTGCCTTTGCCCCTACCCTCACTCCGCACTTCCTAACGGCTTTCAACTCGCTGATAGAAGACAACCCCCGCCCCTCTCCATCACTACTTGAAGCACATATTACTGTCATTCTGAAAGCAGGTAAAGACCCCACAAAATGCGAAAGCTATCGCCTCATATCGCTCCTAAATTTTGACGTCAAATTGTATGCCAGAATATTAGCCAATCGCCTTCTCCCCTTTATACCTTCCCTCATACACCTAGATCAAGCTGGATTCATCCCCGGTAGAGAGGCTCGTGACAATACTACTAAAGCCCTGAACTTGGCACATTGGGCTTCGAACAAGGGTTTGCAGTGCTTCTTCCTTTCTACGGATGCGGAAAAGGCATTCGACAGATTGGCCTGGGACTATATGGAAGCTACCTTACGAACGTTTGGACTCGAGCACTCCATGATCTCTAGGATCCTGGCTCTGTACTGTCATCCCCAAGCCCGTGTTCGGGTGAATGGCCTTCTGTCGGATGCCTTCCCCATCAGTAATGGGACCAGACAGGGGTGCCCCCTTTCCCCCCTCCTTTTTGTGGTGACACTGGAGCCGTTTGTTCAGTCCATCCGGGAGAACCCTGAAATACATAGTATATCGATCAATCAAAGGGAATATAAATTAGTGGCGTTCGCGGACGATCTCCTTTTCACCCTATCTGATCCCCTACACTCTATCCCCGCCCTCTCCGAAGCGTTTTACGAATTCCAACTCATTTCCTCCTTTAAGATTAATCACTCGAAGTCATCTGCTCTAAATA